GGGGGGGGTGAGATTGGATTGGTTTTGGACGTGTGGTGTGGAATTTGATACCCAACGGAGTTTTTTTGGTTGCTTTTGTAGTATAATCAATAACTAATACAATCTGAATGCCCATATCAAGATTTTTTCCAAAGAGTCGTATTGAATTCAAAAAAAAAAAAGTTCTATTCGCATCTTATCCAGAGACGCATGACGTGGGAATCCGGAACGATGATGAAGAATGAAAAAAAAAGAAATCATACATTCTACTCTATAATGGATAGGTCGAGGAACCGTTATCCCAACACACACACAGAAAGAGAAAACTTTCCCTTCTCTATAATAAAACACACACACACACACACACAAATGTGTGTTCCAGTTCGAGCTTCAGCGCTTGAAGCCGATTCTAAAAGCCAGTTTGGAGTTTTTCCGCCTCGCTTCCAAGTTTGGTGAATAGGATAAAGCTGATAACCAAGCAGCAGCTTTCACATGTCCAAATGGCTCACCCAACTTGGAATCATTCCCACCCTGGGCCCAGTTGCTCATCCGCTCCGTTTGTTGCTCCCAGGAAGAATCATGTATGTACATAAAAAGAAGAAGGGAGCCAACAAACACCGGAAGAATGGCCGAGAAAGGGCAGTATTTGGGGGAATGAAAGTCTGAGGGAAAAAAAGAAAAGGAAAAGGAAGAAGAGCAATATGAAGAGTGGAAGGGGAGAAGGAGGGGGGAAGTCGGACCGCGCACACCGTGATTGCTGACCTGGGGATCGCGAAAAAACCCGGAATACGGCCGTTTTTGGGCGACATTGCGCTGGGTAATGCAACTAAGGGCCTTCGCGGATTCCGGTGGAGCGGAACGCTTGAGTAAATTTAGCGCAATCGGTGGTCCACCCCCGTACAGATTTGCAGCATGGCATGCAGTGCGGGCGTATATAAGGCAAAAGTTCGTTTGTAGAAAGGTTGAGGGTCCGGTCATGAGGCGGGTCGTTTTCGGGAAAAGAAGAGAAAAAACGTGGTATCAGGGAGATCAGTTGAAGATCTCGCCAATGTGACGGAGATGCTGGGGCTTCCAAGTTCCTGTTGATCAATGTTAGAAAATCTCGGTCTTTGACGGAACACGGAAAATAGCTCGGTGCATGGGGAAGATGACAAGTTGTGCCGTGCATCGCCGAGCAACCCGTTTCTTCGTATTGACATCGTATTAAACCCGTCAGATTAGGTATAGAGCGCGTGAATAAGCTCCGGGTAGTAATAATTAGACATTAGAACGGGCGAACGGTCTCGCCGCGCGATTAGTGGCCACATTGTTTTCGTCAGCGCTCTAACGAATGACGCACCAACGCTACGGCGAGACTGTGACAAGACTGTTGTTGACTGCCCTTGGGAGCTGCTCTTGTGGGAAAAACATGGCGCTAAACTTAACCAGTTCCAAAAGAAAAATACACCATGCGGCGCTACAATAAAAATAGAAACATGAAGTCATAAGGTGCAGCAGTGGTACTAGGATTCTTGTCGCTTACCTTCAAAGCTGTGCTTGACAAAGGCCATGGGGTCGTCTTCTTCGCCGGCACCCATGGTCTTGATTCCGGGGCTGAAGCTGGTAATGGGAAGGACAATTACATCGCCAACCTTCTTGGGGGCCTTCATTCCAGTAAAGTTTTCCCAGGTGATATTGCCCTTGCTTGTGCTCATATCAAAGAAGTCGGGGTTGTTGAAGTAGGAAAAGATGGTGTCTGTCCATACAGCAGGGCCAGTAAACTCAACAATGTCCTTGTGGTCGTCGGTGAGCTTGCCGGCGCGCTTGCGCTTCAGGGTCTCCTCGGTAATTCTGGACACGACATCGACAAGCACGGGGTGGCCGGGCTTGGACTGAATAGTCCACTGGCAGAATTGGATGCGGCGAGAGTACCAGTCGGCCCAGTCTGGGCGGTCTGGGTCTGCCTCGATGCCAATAACCATGCCGTATGAGTTTGCCGCGACATCAGAGGGAATCCACTCAAACGCAGGCTTCAATGCAGTAGTGTCAATATCTGAGTAGATACCACCGCGCGCAAGGAGGATGAGGTAGCGGAAAAAGTCTGCCTTGAGGACGGGGATGGGCATGGCATTGTAAGCCTCAATGACTTCGGGGACCGAGGCGTACAGGTGTCTGATCAAGTGGAGGGCGACATCGTCGGTGATAACCTCGTGAACAAAGGACGGGTGGTGGATGGTCCAGCTGGCCTCTGGCTCGCGGAAGATTTCCTCGAATTCACCAGACTGGGGAGTGTGCTTCCACGTCTGCCAGATGTAGGCGGGAGTCTTTGTGTCGACGTCATAGGGGAATTGGTACTCGAGTTGTTCTGCGAGGGGCTTCTTGCGCAGCTCGTCGAGGCTGACCTGCGTCTTTGGCTTCTTCGAGGGCGTGTCGGGGACATCGAACGACTTGTCTGACTGGTCAGCCTTTGTGGGCTTGTCGGCGTGTTTTTGTGTCTCTTTTTGCTTGGATGCTTTCTGTTTTTCTCGCTCGCGGTCGGCAGGGTTGACCCAGGCGGTGGGACGGGGCATGTCATGTGCATTGCGGTACTTTGGTGTTGTGCTGCCGTGGTGTTGTGACTTGAAGATGAAGAATAGCGTCAGACAGGCGAGCGAAAGCACGAGGGCTTTCTTGAAGGTGAGCATGGTGGCGGGATGTTCGCAGAGGATGGTAGTGGCGCGAGGAGAATACGTTGCAGATGTGAAGGGTTGTGTGCCAATGGGTTACTCGAGGTGTTGAACCGAGTTGGCGAAACGCAGGGTGGTTCGGGGACGTAGGGAGAAGCAAAGAGTAGCGAAGGGTTTAAAGGGTATAGTCGAGGCCGTTGGGAAAGACGGGTGAAATGGGTGGAATGGGTGGAACAGGTGGAAGGGGAGCGAAGTTCAATTCGACCAAAAAAAAGGGCAACGGCAAGTTGGGAGAAGTAATGGAGACAGGAGGAGGTATGGGTGAGTCGCGCGAGAAACCAGCACCGCTTACATAGACGGAGAGACCCAAAAAAACCAGAGCTAGCAGCGACGCGCTATGGCGGGCTTTTTGAATCAACAGGGCCCGGCGACAGAACAGAGGGTACGCCAGGATGCGACGCGTTTCAGAGCGAGTATCCCGCGCTCGGGCCAGGCATAGCGGGCTGGTCGTCGACGACTTGGGCAAGGCTTTGTACGCTTGCAGTTGCATGACTCCTGCAATACTGACGGGGCAGAGAGGCGGCCGGGGCCATGCCACTTTTTCCAGCCCGTGTCTGCTTATCACCAAGACGGGCAGTGGAGTACTTACTCATACTGCTTGTACGAGTAGTGTAATCATTGCAGCTGCAGTTGCAGTTGCAGTTGCAGTTGCAGTGGGCAGCTGGCAGTGCATGGATTTGGCAGTGTCTGGCCGGCAGGCTGTGCATTACCGCCACCACCACCACCGAAGCAGCTTCTGCCCCGACAGGCCCCTCTCTCGCTCGCTCAGCCCGCTCTAGCCCTAGGAGAGGGTCATGCAGTTGCGGTGGTGGTGTTACAAGGGTAGATGGGATGGAAACACAGATACTACGTACGTGTATATGGCATGGCCGTGTTGCTCTTCCGCACGGCTGTCCAGGGGCCGGATTCGCCGTGGTGACGCGCGTTCGGCTGCTCGCTTGGCTGAAACGCCGTGCTCTTGCCCGATGGCGTTTAGTCCTCCCGCCGCTAAAGTCCACACAAACGCTCCCAGGGTGAGGGAGGGCAAAACGCCCTGCGGATGACGGTACAGTACTTGGATGCGAATGGACACACTACTGTATCTACTATCTACACATGTATCTGCTGTGCTGTCACCACCACGCCCGTCTTGTCCATGACCTGACTGGTCAGCTTCCGTTATCTCAGCTATCGCAAACGGGCAGGTCCCGTTAGCACGCCAATCACCCACCGCCTCATTCATTCCCTTCCATCAATCATTCGCAGCATCCACACTATCCTGACGCCATACCGTACGCACCATGGCCAACAGGCTGCCAGCTATGCAACACGGCAATATGCAACGCCATTTTGTCGAAACAAACCCCGGTCTTGGCAACGACGTGCAACCCGGCACTTTGCCCTCACCCCCCTCACCCCCCTCGCACCATTGCACCAACCGCCTTTGTTCCATGCCCATTCCACCAAACACACTTCCATGCCGCCACTCAGCTCACTCTACCTCGTGCACATGCCCGCGCTTCTTTTCAATCACTACGCCATTTTCCATCTACATGAAATTTCGATTCATTCCCCCGCGCAATGCCACGTTCCCCATGCCTCTCATGCCTCGATCATCTGCCTCTCCGTCCGCGTCATCGCATCTTCTTGTCCGCGTAAGGCGTCACAGGATGCTGTGTCAATGTTTCAGCTACCCGCCACATGTTCTCTTCTTCCTCTCCCTTGGCTTCCCACAACAGGCACACTTCTACTAGTACTCTTCACTTGGCTTGCACCCACCTTCCTGTTCCTGACTTTTGTTCCTGACCCTTCGTGCCTGCTGACTAGCCGCGCAAAAACCGTTTGGGGGTTCGCGGCAAAAAGCATCGGAGCTATTTTTTTGTCCCTGCACATTCTTGCTCGGTCTACCTACATATTTGTAGGGCTGCGATCACATCTTGGTCATGACTAGTGGACCCTGCCAATACCGATGCATCCATACATCGCCGATCAACCTCGATAATTAACTAGTGTATACATACTTACACATTTTCACATACATACATACATGTACATACATTTCCCCATCCACCAATACACTCCCCACACCGCCCTGCTCACCTAATTACAAACCCTCAATCTCCCCATCCCACAGATTTCCTGTTGAGAAAACGAAATGTCGATCAACATACCCACCCTCCCGTATCCATCTCCACTCCTTGCGCTCCGAGCGTCAACCCCTCGAGTCATCCGCCTCTAGTCCAAGTGAGCAAGTATACAAATTAAACTTCAATCTCCATGATGCCCCGGTCTCGGGGGGAACAAAAACATAACATAGTATCATCTTCCCAGATACGAGCCAAGTGGAAACAAGGGAAGACGGGAACAAGTAAAGACCCCCCCCGCCCCCGCCCGCCCGCCCAGTTATGGAATTTGCAAAATGTTCGTCTTTTCCGTCAAGGAGAATGTTTGCATAGTGGGCGTAACGAACTAGTCTTAATCTAGTCCCCGAGCTTTGAACTCTCCTTTTCTCGAGTAAGACGCGGGTAATCTCGTATAAAAGAAGAGAAGAAAAAAAGGGGGTGGAGGGAAGGAGAGAGAACGGTGTGTACATAATCAGGTTGTATGCCAAGGTGAAGCGCAAATAACACACCCCCACGGAATAACGGAAGGAGCACCGAGGGGGGATTGATAAGCTAACATTTTTTACTTGTTCCCTCTTTCTGCCATAGTTTTGTTTTGCTTTACTGCATGTACACACAAAGAGTCCTGACTCGCTTTTGCGCGCTCAAAGTAATGACAGTATGTGTGTGTGTGTGAGTCCCTTATGCCGTCTTGACCCCCGAACCCCCCCATCCAAAATCAACCACGCACCACGCCCCTTCTCCTCGTTTGCGCATCGCCTGGATATCCATGGCCACAATCCGCGCCACCTTTTCGCGATTCACCCATTCCGCAACCGCGTGGCCCGATTCCTGATTGTTCAACCGCCACTTGACATGCTCTTTTTCCTTGTTCTCGCGTAGCCACCGGAGTAACTGTACAGGAACAATGCCCGCAGGCATATTCTGCAGACTCTGACTATCACTCGGGATCCAGCCTTGGAAAATGTTGACATAGGTGATGCGTCGCCACGAGTCGTTCCAGTCCGGGCCCGGGATCCCCTCTTGCGTGCTCCATTCCTCGGTGCTGAGGCCGGCGTCGACGCCAGACCTGCCGCCGTGGGACGTCAGTGCTTTGAGCCAGAAGCAGCCTTCGAGGTCTAACCACTGGAGCGAGTACGTGTCTTTGGAGAAGCGCCGCATAATGTTTGTGGCTTCGTGCCAGTCATCGTCGAGGTCCGAGTAGATGTCGGACCCGCCTAGCGAGACGCTGGTGTGTCGCGAGATCATCGATGTCGTCTTTGCGTTCGGCGTCATCGACGGCCGGGGCCAGTGGGCGAGCGACAGATGCGTTATCTTGTTGAGGTTGGGTGAGATGCGGAGTAGTTCTGGCCAAGACGCCCATGGCCCGGGGTTAGCAAGAGACAGCCGGCTGAGGTTCACAAAGAGTGGTATGTGGAGCTTCGCTGCTGCTGGTATTGGGGGAGCTGATGTTTCTTCATCTGCTTCTTCTTCCCACGATTCGGCTAGCTCGTCCGTTACACTAAGTGCTTCCATACTGACATGGACTGGCGCTGTCGCGTTTGGCCGCTTGAGGCACTTTCCAACATCGTGAAGCGTCAAGTTTTCACTCAATAGTCCGGAAAGGTCCACAATCTGTACTTCTTCACAGCCTGCTGTTCCTCCGTCTTCGTTCTGGAACAAAATTTTTAATGATTTGAAATCTACCCATCCTGGCTCCCCATACACGGTCAAGTAGCTCAGCAAAGCCTCCTTGAGCGAGGCTGGTAGCGATGGAATGTAGTGTTGTTCGTATTCGGAAAGCTCCTGCCAGTGTAGCGCAAAGGCCCGTAGGCATTGGTGGGCAAGGCTTCGAGGGTGCGGTAGGCGCTGTCATGAGTAAGAAGCCTGAATTGCAACATTAAGCCTAGACGACACTCAAACGCCAGCGCGAGATTGGGACGAATGACGTCGTACCTTTCTTTCCTCATCCGTAACCCGTGCCAATGTGCCAAACCGAGCAACGCTCTCCTTGACTTGTCCCGCCTTCTTTCTTCCTAACACGGAACCGTAGCGGCTTGTCTGCAACCAGCTCGTGGGAGCTGCGGGCCCCGGTGGTGGTCTGGCACCTCCGTTGGTGCGGCGCATCCTCGAGTTGGCCTTTGGTTTGGGAGCGTTAACTTCGGGTATATGCAGGATGCGCCGCAGTTCCGGCGGAACAGTGCGGTTGCTTACTACCGAGGTGAGTTCATCTCGTTGCTGCGGGGTTGCTCGTGGAGCCTGTTCACGACGGAGCTGTTGTATGCGCTGGTTGACTGTTTGGGGTTCTGCGGCCGAGGACGAGGACGAGGTTGAGCGCGAGCTCTGCAGCGAGGGATGAACATAGGATGGTTTCGCGGTAGTGTATGAGGGCGTATGCTTCTTGGGCATGGCGCCAGGTGGTGAGGGCTGTGTGTAGATGCAGTGCGGATAGAAATGTGTGATATGCTGCTAGCTGTATATAAGCGGGGTGTGAGCACGATTGGCACTGTGAGTCAAGCAGGTATGACTGGATCAATGAGGATTTGTGAAGGAGCACAGGTCCACAGGCGCAGCATCCGCAGGGAGGGATGGCGATGGTGGTGGGTGTGACTCCAACTGGGTGTGAAGAAGAGACGGCAGCGGGAGAGCTGCTTGCTCGTCATGGTGCCGCCACCTGGACCCTGGGCGTGTAGTATGGTACATACGTAGTAGTAGGTGGTGTACAGTACTGTCTGTACACATGTGCGCCTACACACGTGCTGCAACTACAACGTCTATTATGTCCATGATGGTGGGCTGGACGTGTCTGCGCCTGCACGTTGAAATTCGATGCATTTTGCACATGCCATGTCGAAGGCGCTGAGCGGTGGTGACGTTAGCCAGTCTCGTCTTCCAAGAGGCTTGTGGCGCTAATGGCGACGGGCTAAGCCGATATATAAAAGCCTCTCATGCGGCGGGGCCATCGGCCCTTGTATTCTAACTATCGCCTGTCTGCCCCTATTCTGAGAGCGCCGAACACGACTGGCTTACGCATGCCCTTTGCACCCACAGGGAATAGGGCGAAGGACGTGGCAAAAAGACCAATGGCAGACATGCAACCCCCAACCAGCGCATCGAGTGCCGAGACTGATATGTGCCTAGAGAACTAGAGAGGGCGTCGCCTCTCGAAATATCCTTCGTGCTCATCAAACAAAACGAAACAGTCCAGGAAGCCAACCGCGCACAATCAAGCGTCTTATCTTACTTGCACGGGGGGATGCTTCCTCCCGCCGCCTGACACATCTTCTTGCCTGCCAGGTGACGGCTGTAAAATAAAAATAAACTCTCTTCCTACTGCGCACCTACACTACACATGTACCTAACTGCGTAGATTCACGAGCAGGCCGGCGCCTTGTCTGGCTTGGCTTGTGCGACGCCATGCCACGAGGACGAAACAGCGGCCAGCGCCCATGCTTAGGGCTAATTTTATCTTCATCAGCTACAGTGGTAGATCCCCGCCCGACAGACAGCATCAGCCCTGGTGGAGCCTCCGCTCAGACCCCCCGTACCCGCCTTCCTCTAGAGGCCGTTGCTCCTATCTTTTTTTTCCCTATCCACATGTCAACTAATACCGCGCCTTCACGATGACATGATCTGCTTCTGCACACCACCTTCGTTTCCCTCACCCACACCCTTCCTTTAGCGATGCCACCACGCCCTTGACCACACTTACTTCAACTCTACCTCCCTAATACTCCGCTCGCTATAGCCTACACAACCATGCACTTCTCACCCTCGCGCATCGTCATAGGCTTTGCCATCTTCATTGCTTTTAGCTTCATTTACACCATCAACTCCGTATCCGCCCGCGACCCGACCTCCGTCTTCTTCGATCCCAACAAAGGATACACTCCGCGCTATTCCGCCCTTAGACGCCAGCAGGCCGAAGCCTTTGTTTCCGCCTACAACCCCGCCACCGTCGTTAAGGCCGGCCCCGAAAGGCAGAGGAAGCTGTGTGTCGGCATACCCTCGTTCAAGCGCGAGGGTACCCAGTATCTTCCCGATGCAGTAGGCTCTCTCCTCGAGGGTCTGACGCCGGAAGAGCGGAAAGAAATCTACCTTATTGTCTTCATCCCCCACTCACGGCCCGAGATACACCCAGCCTACAACGAGGCCTGGCTGCCCGGACTTGCCGATGAGGTTCTCACCTATGGATACGGCTTCGACCGTATGCAGTACATTCGCAATCTCGAGACACAACACAAGATTGACGAAAAGGGCATATTCGACTACAGATACCTCTTGGACAAGTGCAGAGAGCAATACACGCCCTACATTGCCCTTTTTGAGGACGACACCGTAGCTGTCGATGGCTGGTACCACCGCACTATTGCCGCCATCGATGAGGCAGAGCGCAAAGCCGCCCTCCAACGCGCAAAGCCCGACTTCCTCTACCTGCGCCTCTTCTACACCGAAGAATTCCTCGGCTGGAACGCCGAAGAATGGTCCACATACCTCAAAAACTCCCTCTATGTAGCCCTCATCCCCACCGCCATCTTCATCTTCATCCGCTGCTTCCAGCCAACCACCAAATTCTCCCTGACCGTCGTCACCCGTCGCACCCTCGTAGCCACCTACGCTGTCCTTGCAATCATCATCCTCCTATTCTTCGCCTTTGGCCGCATAACTGTCCAACCCATGCCCCCCGGCGTCCACGAAATGCCCGCCTTCGGCTGCTGCGGCCAGGCTTACGTCTTCCCCAACGTCAAAGCCACCGAAATCGTAGAATACTTCAAGGACCGTCATCTAGGTTACATCGATGTCCTACTTGAGGACCTCGCCAATGAGCGCCACGAACTGCGTTATGCCATTACGCCTAGTCTTGTGCAGCATGTCGGTCGCACCAATTCTCATCATGACGATGGGCTCATGAGTAAATGGGGGCTCAGTGTTGCCGAGCGCATATGGAGTTTTGCCTTTGAGAAGTTTGATTGGAGGGCTCTGCGCCAAGAGCATGAAATAGTTGCCAACTTGAGGCGGCAGGCCACGGTCGGGACGACGGGGATCTAAGATGTGCACATATTTTCTTTTTCTTTGTTGGACTTTGGTGAAGAGCACCTAAAATGGTTTTATGACGCTCGGTTTAGAGATGTTTTTGCTTGCTGGAATTATTTTTGGGTGTTCCTTTTTCGAGATTTTTTTTCTGGCACAAGGAGTTGAAGATAATGTATATACCCCCCCAATGGTTAGATAATGCATTTTAACTTACTTTGTACACACTTGTCTTTGTTTCTGGTTGCAGTATCGGCATCTGGACTGAAGATGCTTTTTTGTTTTTTTTTGAAACGGGCGATGACGTCGTGGGTTTATGCGTACATTGGAGTCGAATTTAAAACGCAATCTAGGTAAGCTGGCCTCAAGCATGTTAGACTGCCCACCTGGTGGATAGAATTCCCTAGATTCTTAAAGAGCTTGTACTTTGTTGTTATCAGCATTATTTACCTAACCTCTTTTTATAAAACTTTTGGATGAAGGATTGCTACTTTGGGATAGAGCAAAAGATCGTACGCGTAGATAGTTATTATTCTGATAATACTATGCTAGTTTTACAAAAGCTACAAAGCCGCCACCTTTTGGGCGCGTCATTAATTTTAGTACGTTAGGTGGCCCTGTGTTGAAGTCCCAGGAATCGTGTTCACTACGTTACTTGCTTACCTGTTTGAATTGTTGTGAAAATCGATAACATTGCATGTGGAATGCTTATTTCAGACTGATAGGGAAAGAACTGTAATTCTTGCCATATCAAGTAAACTCTTTGACCCAAAATCTCCCACTAGATACCATGATATCGAGTAAACCACCTTAAATATAACCCCGAATAAACCTCTCCACGACCTCTCCCCCAAACCGCTCCTCCCCCACCTTCCTCAACCTAGCCGCAGTCTCATATTTCGGCCGCCAATACCTCACATCAACATCGTAATACACCCGTCTCTTCCCTTCATCCCCATCGTCTTCATCGCACCAGTCTGATTCCTGACCGGGGGCGTAATATGCGATGTGTGAATTTCCATCATCGCTCTGGAGTTCGATCGTGAGCATGAGAGAGCCCAGAACGGGCATTTGTAGTGCTGCTTTCGAGAGGGCGGCGAGGAAGGGGTTGCATGTGCCTAGGTCGGGACGGATGCGGAAGTTGCTATAGTTCCGTTTGCCTGGGACAAGATCACCGATAGTACCATCGGCTGGGTCATCGTCGTCGGGATGAAGGCGTGAAAGGGAACCAGTGAAGTACAACTCGCCTGAGGGGGTGACTAGGGAGATTGTGATGTCGAGGGTTGTCAAATTGGGCCAGGAGGGCAGTGTGGCGGGTTCTTCTAGAGGCCAGAAGAGGGTTGAGTCGACGTGGGCGCTGAGCGTTAGACTTGTGAGGTTTTCAGAGAAGGTACGTATGGCAGTGCTGAAGGGGTAGTGGGGGAGGTCATGAGGTACGATGCTTCGGACTGGGAGTCTTTGGTCGAATGGTCGTGCGTGCTCCAGGGTTATTTCGGCGGATTTGAGCCGGTGGAAGGAGGCCCGCATGAGGCTTCTTGCGAATCCTGCACGCGCCGCGCAACGCACTTTTGACTTTCTAGCGTTTGCGTACTTAAGGTGGTATAGTGGGCCGAGATCTGATTCTTCCTCATCAGAACCGTAGAAGTCTTGGAATTTCCAGTCTACTTTTTGAAGATTCGGGAGTGAGAAGGCTAGATTTGGTCCAGTAGATGGTGCAAGAAGTCTCTGTTCGCCATCCTCCACAGTGAGATGCTGGATACTAGACAAGGTTGGCAGATTGTTGGGATGAGTGATACGCAGAAGCCAAGGTTCCTGAAGGAGTCCTCTGTGAAACCCATCGGCTGCACAACTCCTCCTATAAAAACTTCCAGGTTCGGACTTTCGAGGTTCGGGTTTCCGAAATGCTAGTGGGCTATCAAGCCGCAATACATTCTGCAAGCCATCATCTTTCCACTTTCGTAAGATCTCTTCAAGATCTTCTAGTTTTGTCGTAAAATTCTCATTGTATTTATTTTGGTTTCGCCGTGACGCTTCTGGTAACGTGTATCTTGATTCTGAATATTCTGGCGATCTCTCTGTAAAACTGATCTGGGAAACGTATTTTCGACGATTCCCGGTCACAATTTCGTGGAAATTTTCCAGGTCATTTTCGGTAGAGATATGTAGGCGGCGAAACGTAATGTATTCGACTGCTTCCTTCCACGCGCGGTTGAGAATCGCAAGACGAGGAAATTGAGACCGCGCTTTGCCACGTTCGTAAGATTGATGTATCGCATAATAGTACTTATGCTGGTTCGGGTACCGCTCTGCAAACAACACTATGCAGTTGATCAATTCCTGTGGCAGTGTTTCCATGGTGAATGAGAGAATAGCTAGGATGTGGTTCAAGATTGCGAGAGTGTTGTCCTATAAGGTAGATGAATGTCAAGGTGCCAACAAGTGTTTGTGTTATTCTTTGCCATACCGTTAGCACATGAAATCAATTCATGTCCATGTGTACATGTAAAGCCTTGCTTCTGCTCACTTGATAAACAAGTTTGATCAGCCGCTCATCCTTGCTCCATGGTTTAGTAGGATTGATATCGACCTACAGAAGTGGTATTATCGTTTCATCATGCAAAAAGCTAGAAAATTAACTAGCAGTATAGATATTCCCGACTTTGTTGGAGTAGCTGCTGAATGTTCGAACAGAGGTTGCAGCTCAGGCACAACTCATCCGGTTTTGGAAAGTGCTGCTTCCCTAACGTAGACAGAACCAGGAAGCTGCTGTTATTTGGCAAATAGTCAACAGTTGCTATTCTGGTTTTACCATGCAGCGTTATGGTACTCAATCGCGGTTGCTAGTAAAGCTGGGTACTAGTTTGCGTTGGCGGAGCAAACATGGGCCTCTTTTCACACCCTGGCTACAGTGTCACGGTGTCTTGACCTCCATCTCACATACGCCATTGTGCGTAAAAATGCGCCAGATATGTCTTTGTTGAATATGGTCACATCTTTGATATCTGATGCGAATAGTTTGAGGGCTGTGGTGAGGGTTGAGATTTTTGTTGTTGTTGTTAATGTTAGTAAGAAATTGATGACGGAAAAGTGGTGGGGTCAATGTGAGGGGTTTCTTAGGTGGCCCACTTATGCAAGTGGCGCACCTCATGAAGCAAATCTTTGGAAAGGCTACGTTTCGCTACTCGGCCCCAACGGTTCCATATGGAAAATTTCAAAAAATTGGCCGTGCGTTGCACGGCCCGCCCACCCCAAGGGAAATGCCCACCCCAAGGGCAATAAAATACTTTAGTCGCAAATTTTGGTGTATTTATATAAAAATTTCAGACAGAATAATTTACTTATTCTTAAAGCTATATTTTAAGACTCTCCCTAGTTATTTTGACTACAGCCACTATATACGTCGCTGTTGTAGTCGCGATTATAGTTGTAACGGTTCGAGTACACATTGAACTGATATCCGAAAGGGATCCGAACATGGGCGCGCACTAGCCGAGGGCAGATCTGCTGATATAAAACCCCACCTTCTCCATACCGTAGCTCGATAGATTTTTGATATCCTTTCGTACAAGGCCTATAGGTGTCTATTCGAATCAAGGCTCGTTTGATGTCCCACGCACTCCCATATGCCTCTGAGTGACGCTGCCGCCGATACTGATCCGAGTAGTCTTGCCTGCGCCGTTACAATAGTCACTACTACCTGCGCAGCTAGCTATCTTATCTAGTATTGTTAAGCTTAATAGTGACTGTTACGACTTAATTTTTAGGCAAGGAGAATCGCTTTAGTATAAATATAGTAGCTCGTCTTCCTTATTTACTGCATCATCATCACTACTATCATCCTAGTGTTAAGAGAGCTAGCAGAGCAGCCGGTATGGGCAGACTTAGTAGCGGACCGCCGCAGCTACTTCTACTACCTCTATATTATTAGTTATAAGTACGCTCTCGTTGTACTTAGCGCTATAATCCTCTTATACGCGCTGTAATTTATATTACGCCTTAGTATTATAATTATAGTTATTAATAGCGTACTACTAGCGCGTAACATTACACATTATTATAACGCCACTAGCTGCGCGCTTAAGGTATTTCTTGCCCTAATTCCGTATTATAGGCCGTATACGCTTCTATTTATTAGCAATAGTTATTACCTTATAAAGTAATCTTGCAGCGAGCTCTTATTATAAGCGGGCGACGTTATTAACCTAGCGGCGTTATACTATTAAGCGCGCGTCTTGCGAGTAGATAGGTCTACTACCTACTTTAAGAGCACGGCGTTTACAACGACGGCGCTCGCCTTTAGCAAGTTACGCTACCTCTATATAGTATAGCTCGCGCTGTAAGCCCTCTACTATACGCGCAATTACTAAGACACCACGTTAGTGTTTAATAACGCTAGCAGCAACGTCGCGTAGAAGATACTCACGAAGCACAGTATAGACGAAGGGCTCTTACGCTTAAATCTAGCGGATAGTTTTTAGTATAACCCATACAGCGTCACCAGGCCGTAGGTTCTCTAGCTCTAGTATTATATTCTAGTCAAGCTTATCGCGCTCTCCTTACGCGCGCCGTCGTCGTTAGCGCGCGCTTAATTACTCACCCTATAGCGCTATCTGTAACGGCGCAGGCAAGACTACTCGGATCAGTATCGGCAGTAGCGTCACTCAGAGGCATATGGGAGTGCGTGGGACATCAAACGAGCCTTGATTCGAATAGACACCTATAGGCCTTGTACGAAAGGATATCAAAAGTCTACAGAGCTAGCTACAGGGAGTGTCTCCTTATATACTTATCTTAGTCGGATCCGAATCGGATCCGACCTCACAACGAGTGGTTGATGAAGAGGGCGGCGAGTACTACCTCCGATCCGGCTCTGGGATTGGTCCGATACATGGCGAAGTTGTAACATCGTTACACTACCCCCCTCTTAGTAGACAGCTAGTCCCATAGCTGTGAGACTGTTCTTATGCCTCTCTATTGCAGTTCCTCCACGCCAGCGCGAGAGACTGTTTCGGGTGACTTTCGGCTTGTTCTATACCCACTTTTCTTTTCTTTCCCTACACTCGATCATCCTGCAGCGAAGTCATATCGTCTATACCTTTCTCCCAAGCTTGAATCCACTGGCCAAGGGCCCGAGGAGGTCCCGGCTTCGATGGGTTTTG